CTTCCTGGGAAATAACTGGCTGAGCTTGATTATGCGGACGATATTTACCTGCTGTTTAACGATTTTGAGCTGGCCATAACAACCCTGAATAACCTCTCTAAAGTGATCCCATAATTTGGCATGCGGATCGCTTCTTCAAAGTGCAGGGTTGTTACAAGACCACTAGCCAGAAGACGTCCCATTGACACTTGATAGCGAGGAACTCGAGGTAGTTGATCACTTCATTTACCTTGGCAGCTGTATCAGCAGCGATGAGCGCATAGCAACTGAACTAACTTCAAGTATTTTAAAAGCTAACACTGTCTTCTTGCATCTGAGACATTTGATGTCAGAATGCTTTTATCTTCGTCTGAAAGTCCGTGTTTACAGGGCCACTGTGAGAGAAGTCCTACTTGATGGTATTGGGACTTGAGTCGTTCGATATGAGGATCTGCAGCACTTTCAATCCTATGATCACCCTTGTCTGCCAAGCATTGTTGTTGTCAGCTGGCACCGACATGTCAGCAATGATGAGATGTGCAGGCGAATGCTTGGCAGTGATAAGCAAGCTAGTTCCTTATAAGAACAGATAGCACCGAATAAGTTGCCTTGGCTTAGGCGCGTATTACGCATGCCCGGTCACCGCTTACCGAGGAGAGCCATGTTATGTTTGCCAAGTGTAAGGTGCGCAAGGCTCAAGGTGGGCAAAAGTTAACTTGGCGACGGGAAGCGAAGTCACAGCAGACCAAACTCGGTGCCGTTGGTAAGTGTGGTCTTTCAGGCTGGGGTCCACGTGACCCACCTTGTGCTTGGCTGAAGATGTTGCGGAACATGGCTCGCAGTGGGCACCATTGGCGTATCTGCTGTCATTTCATTATCGGAATACATGTTTAAAGTCTGATTGGTAATGGCTGATTATGACGCGGGGCAGGTTAAGCCGCAATGAAGCTGTCTCCCCGGTGTCGCCTTACCTTAGTATTATGCCTAGCTGTTCGTGACGGTACGTTGTTGACAAGGTGTAGTTGCTTGACCCTGAATGCTTGCTTAGGAGAATCCACTTTTATGGTCGGTCCCCATTCTTGCCCTCTTCATATTCTTTGTTCCGTATGTCACCATATTTTTACGGCTGGGAATTATAAGTAAAATGTTTTGCGACATTACGCTAGTTGATGAGAATCTTCAGGCAAAGTTTAAATACGCGCAAACAACTAGCTCCCGGTCCCTCAAGTACCGGTGTGGTAGAATGCGGTTACAGCGCGATCATTCTACCCTCACTAAATTATGCGCAATGCATTAGGCCACCTGCGTTATGGATGGCGATGTAAACATAATGCTTTTTTACTTTTCGTCACTGCCGATACTTCAGGTAGTCATCCAAACCAGCTCAACTCCAGTGACATACTGATATACGCAGGAGTGAACAGTTGGTATGTCTAAGGCTATTTCAGTGGGACAGATTTCGCACAGATTGTGATTGTTCAAAAACTACTTTTTTGTGTGATCCTTATCCTTGCAATCAGCGCATTGTTCCTGGTTGCAAGTATCCTTTACCTCCAGCGTAAATCGATGGATAGAGCATCATCACGTAGTGTTACGTAAGTCCACGATTTAATTCTTTTCGGGTGACTAAGTTTTGTTCAATAGCTGTCTCACCGCTAAGTTTACGGTCACAAAAATTGGCCAGTCAATGACTAACAATTGATCCTCTGTATTGGATGTGTATGTGACAGAACCGGTAACGGTATTAATACATTATGTTGTGTGATGCCAAACATACCAATTCATGTGCTGTACTTTTTCGTGCGACTGCGAATAAACGAAAACGCGCCGGTATATGACTGCTGGCGGTCCACTTGCACCATCAAGAGTTTTCGGTCATGCCGTTCATTCGGTGGTGGTGCATTGGCTTGCTACCTTTAGGAGAAATGTGTACGTTTATCCCCCCACCTCCCGCTTAGCCACCCAACCAACTACGACCACCTTTTTGACCCATGACACAACTTTTTCGCTACCTAATAGCCGGCTGCTAGCTCTCCGGAACTATGTCTATTTTAATATTGGCTCAACTGGCGTGTCTGTGCTACGTATTTTTTTTACTTACGTCTTGCGACACAACCGTTGATGTGTTTTCCTCTTCTGGTTAACCTGATGATTATGCAAAATGTGAGAACAGATAAACAAGCCGGATGTACATCAAATTAGCAATCAAAAATAGGACACTTGTCGGACAGGATAGTTAGATCTCAAATAGCATAGAAAAGAAAGAAGTTTTGTGGGACATTTCTCATGGCTTAAAGCGCGAACTAGATAGCTTACTTGCGGTGCACTTCACAATACCTGGGATGCAGCAGAGTACCGAAATGGAACATTCACCAGAGATGTGGAGCTGTTTATTACTTAAGATAAGATATAGAACAGGAAGTAGAAATGATCATCCCTAGTTAACAATTAGTGAATTAGTGAAATGCCTAACGCAACACTACCCATGCCTTTGTTATTCATTGGCATGTTGACTGCAGATAAGCTGACGCGATTCTGAAATACGAGTTCTAGCACAGACACAGATGTCTGTACTCACCAGCTCAAATGCTACATATCAGGCGGCTGTAAGCTCATGATTGCGTGTAGTATTGTTCCACCTGATATTGGCAACGGTTGCTATGGTAACAACGTCTTGACGATCATCCCCTCATTTGGGTAGGTCACGTTATTCGTAAGGGTTAAAGCTTGAAAAAGTCCTACCTACTGTCAAAGATAAACCGGTCGGTAAAATCAATTGCATACTCAGTCCTCATTATGGGGTTTGTATGACCAGCAATGGCCCCTAATTTGTCAAAACCAGTTACTTGCTTGATCTCCAAGTGTTGCGTCTCAGTTACTTCGCTCGCAGTCAACAATGTTAACGATGACAGCAAACCCGTGGTTAGGAGCACTTGATGTTCTTTATACCAGCTTCTTCTCTAACACGTAAATTAATGAATAGACCAAGGATTCTCAGGAGACTGGCATCTTGAAAGGAAGTTCAGAAGGCCTGATTGCTGCACCAAATAGGCTCCACAGTAACATGACATATCTTCAGTAGCAGGGTTAATGTGAAAATGACGCCGAATCCAATGACACTTGGCAAGTATGGAAATTGGATGTTTTCCGCCCGAAATCACTATCCTACACCATGCGTCTCGACTTTAGTTGATCGCATCGACTAGAGATAGCAGGCCACAAGCCCGGCACCACTGAGGTATTAGTTGGAACCTCTAACTCGCTAGCCAGTAGGTTAAGACGGGCAAAGCTTGGGGCAGCGGTTAATGCTTGTCTGAATCGTCCTGTCGAAGTACACATTGAAGATTTTTCAGCGTTGCTCACTAGTACCGCTGCAGACCCCCACAGGAGTTGTTTTCTTTCGGACTCGTCAGTTAGAGGAAACCAGTGGATAGAAGTTGCATTAGAGACATAATGGCTGACTGATGGCATCTCGATAACTAAGACACTGAGATGCATAAGAAAAACGTGACGCAGCATCCAGGAATGCCAAGTTGGGCTTCGTAGGACCCATTGTGCGAAGAACTGCTCGCGAATCTCTGTGGCCTTATGACTAAAGAATCCTTCACCAGGCATTGCGCGACGCGTTCCAGTCCAGCTCCGGCTTTGTAAACCAAATGATCCCAAAAGTGGATAAACCGCTCATGCGCTGCTACGCTACAAGTGATGACTACCAAAAGCCCTCCACTCCCAGTTTTGGTCCCAATGCTTCTAATAACCAAGATCAATTTAAAGTTAGGCCTGGATCCGAATGGAAATTATCCGTCTCAACCCAAGCAAAATGATGCTGCTTTAAACCTCTGCATTAACCTCAACTGTTCTTCATAACCCTAAGTACATGTTTCAATATGGAGAAACCACATCACTTACCTATGATGCTCCACATCGAGACGTAAACAAACCGCCACAGCCAATGTGCATTACTATACCAGTGTCAAGTATGCACGACTTTATCCGTTTTACCCCAGTAGAACTTGAGTAGTGCAATCTGAAATCCAATTTTGACGAGGGTACTAGAGTGTTCTCATCGGGAAGCAGTGGATGGTGACTTCTGGTCACAGTACGTGTGGATTTGTTGAAGTGGTACTAGGTGATAGAGACACTAGCATGCAAGCAAGCACTGATCAAGTTTTACACAAGTGCGGCTTCATCAATAAGAGATTCTGTTGCCATCAATCTAGAATGAGGCTTGGTTTGTACGGAATCAAATAACGGAAAGCAACAAGGCAAGCAACGTTTTATACGTCTGGTTTAGAGTTAGTTAGCTCATTTTATTACTGCATCGTCATCAGTTACACCTAGTAATAACTACAAGAATAATACTCGTTTGTGACTGTCTATGGGGCCGTACTTTTAGATGCAGTACGTATCGTAAGATGAAGCCCTGAACGGTGATTATGCACAGGATAGCTAATTGTGTATTTTAATTATTGGGTGAGGTGTGCTACATTAAATAAAAGACCAGTAGCTTTGGTCGCCGCGTAAAAGTCCCGAGTGGAATAGGTGTCGTGCGGTTTATCAAACTTACAACTGATGTAATTAGTGGGTTGGTCGGAACCGACAATTAAATTATAAATAATAATGTACGCTGTACGCCGTTACGGCGCTTCGCTGACGCGCTACCGTCACCAGTCACGCGCGGGTTAAGTATACTACGAGGACAACCACACCTACGGGGATTCGGTGACCTTATGGCTGCAAACCAAACGCGCAGACCACTCGGCCACCTGCCGACAAACCGACAAATATTAAAATAAGGATATTGACGATAGAGTTTTAAACCAGCTACCAGGTTCAGAAATAGCATAATCCACTGCAAAGCTAACCCGAACCACCAGTATTTATAGTCAGGGTGTTCATGTCAATTGGTGTGATGATACTTCCTGCACTTTTAGGATGTTTGTAGAAACGCTAATGATTTCACCAGTGTATATGTTAATAAGATTCCTAAAGAAAATATTCCGACTACTTTTTCAATTTAGCACCGAGTGAAGCCATCTATACCCGTGACTGCCTGCAAGAATCTAAGCCCATCCGCCTTCACCGCGGCGCCTTCGTACATCTACACTGGGGACAAGGACCGGTCTTGGTACTCAGGTGGTGGGATTCCGCCGTTACCACCACCGATCTCAGACACCGTCATAACCGGGCCACCGAGAAAATTGGGTGAAGAGCAAACGCAGTTTGTTGAGGAACAGCCAAACTATCCTGCGAACGATCCATGCCTAACGATTCATCAAGGCGGACCCAGCCCGATCGGCTTTCCGAATATCCAGCCGCTGGAGCAGACCGATTGCTGCTAATATCATGTCGAAAATTCAGTTGATACGGAGTAGAATAACGCATTTTGCGTTGCGGGTGCCAAAAGAACTCATGACGTTTCAAAGCTTTGGCGTCGTAACAAAAGATCTAACTGTGACTTCCTGAAACTTCCCTTCAACTCATTACTTATTTGCATCGCATCGGAAAAAGAGTAGACCTTATTTTAAAACTGCAGTTCCTTATATCCTTGGGCAAGGCCGACGTAGTACAAGTCATAAAATGCCAGCCAACTGACTTCTATGTATAGGTTTTTATTCTGCAGTGCGCATTGGATTGGTCTAATGAATGATAATCACGAATACTAAGAAATGTTGCATCGGTTTCCAATGCACCCGTAAACGATGGGTACCAGATTAGCATAAGGACCTGAGTTGACAAAATAGAACAGGCCTTAACTCGCTATCCGAGTTCACGGTTACTAGCTCATTCGTGAGACGAGACCAAAATTGATTACGGATTAACTGTTACAATATTGCAAACCTCCGATTTCCCCAACTCGCTGGGGCTTCTTCTTTAGTTCACAAAATAAACGACTTTTCAGAACCAGATACCATGGTTTTGCCGAAGGTATTTATGGCACTTTAATTTCGATAAACCGGTAAACTAATGTTCCAATTCTGCCGAAATGAATTAGCACGTGTACAAACAGCACACTGTGTGCTTGCGAGGAAAATGGCATATGGCACATTTATAAATTCATAGGGATTGGGTAGAAAAACGCAACATCGTTTGATTAATTTACCAATGCAATCCATCTTAGCCTCCCCCTCCAACCACGATCTCACTAGTTCGCCTTATATAGTAACTTTTTCTACATAGTAGCCGGCTGGTAGCTTACCGGAAAGATGCATATCCCTTACCGCTAGCTCAGCTGGCTTGTGTATGTTATATGTTTCCCCTTTTCTCTATTGTGTATTGCGGCACAGTGGCTGAGATACTTCCCACCTCTAGTTAACATGTATAACGATGAAGGGTGTAACTCGCCATTAACTGCTTCACATTAGACAGAGCTGAGGCTAGATAAGCTTTAGGGTCACGGAAGATTCCATTGCGGGAAGAACAGGATCCAGGGACGGAACAAGCTTCAACTTAACGAGCGTCCCGTTTCGTGTGCCAGTAAGCGAAAAAGAATCCCCAGCACTGCGACTTGAAATAATGTTCTTGATTCCAAAAGGGAGAGAAGCAGAAGCAAGTAAAAGACAAGCAACACACTTTCATGAAATCATGCACTTATTAGTAAGTACCAAAGCTCATAGAACTTCTGGGAACAGGGCCAACCACTTTTTGTTTAGACTACGTTTACGTTTTGTTGCAGTTGTACATTCCAATAACGTAGATGAAAGTTTATCCCAACTAGGCACAATCCGGTTAGCGGGGAACTTGGCTCGTAGGCCTAGCCTCAATACTTGCTATTTCAATTTCATGCAATGGTCCCGCAAGTTGTCTGGCGCAGCTGCTTTAAACAAATCAGTGGGCCTGAGATCACTGCAAATCTACACGATTTTGTACGTCCCTTTTGAGTCACTTCTCAACCTGTGTCTTCTCATTAAAAACTAACCTGTTGGCTAACCGATCTTCATATGATAATCCACGCTGACCTTCAGGTTGGGTGGGCATAAAATAGAGAAAGTGGATTCCCATAAATCACTCTCAACAGTTTGTACCTGTTTTTACACACTTTAGACTGACCACTTGCAGTATTTTTGACAGAATTTCGTCTTACCCATATCTTGAAATCGTTCTGCAAAGTAGCCACAGTTTCGGATAAATGGGCACCAATTTTGTAACCAGCAAAGTGACGTATGTTGGGTGCGATATGACATTAACATTGCTGGGCCAAGAGAGCAGAAAACCGACATTTGAGAGGTATAAAGGTGGAACACAAAGGGGTAACCTCTTAGTTTCTTGAAAGTGTTCATTACGAGGAGCGACCAAGACGACTTCCGTTTATTACGGTGACAAGTTGACCAGTTGATGGAGATTTGCTGACGCTCAGTGGAAAGCCGCTGACACCGTTACCATCTTGACAATGAAATTGAAACTTCTCATTATGTAAACAAATTTACCAACGTATAGCACAATACGTCATTTCTAGAATCCACTCAATCCAGTTGCTGGCTTAACCGAAGAGGCTGCCTTCACATGGTTGACGTCTAAGATGAAATCGTCAGTATATTTCCGCTGGATAAGTTCAGTCAAACAAGCAAGTTTGGATTAAACCAACATAGATTCAATTTGACTGTCTTGGAAACCTACATTGTATGCTGAAGAGTGAAGATATGTTGCTATGCAAGTGGCTATATCCGAGAAGCAGTCAACTACCTGGTGAAATGCAATAGTTCAGTAGTGTATTATATGATAAAAAGCATAAGTTTACAAGACCGACAGAATGGATCCGCAAAATAAAATAAGCATCAAAATGTTCCAACGTGGAACGTGAAACAGCAGCGGTTAAACCACCGCACTTTAACCAACTGTAGTGTAGCGCTTATCACTAAGATAAAAGTCTAAGTGTCTCTCGAATGTCCTGATGTCTGATGCGTTCATCACATCTCTTCGTAATACATTCTAATGAATAAAAATATTTCTTACAATTCAAACGTTTGTGTGGCGTCATTAGTTTCAAGTGGTTGCCTCGATATTGCTTTTAAGGGCAAGGGTCAAATGTGATGTACATGGATGCTCACTTTCAGTTAATATCCGGTATAGGAGAATGAGATCTCTGCGAAACTTTCGGTATTCTAGGAGAACATACAGGGTACACGAAGACGCAGTTCTTAACTTAGACCGGATAATCCAAGCATTGCCTTTGTGGCTCTTCTGTGGGGTTGTTTCAATAGGCGAAAGTCTCATTTTAACCATGGACACCAGGCCTGATTTGTTTATTCAACATGAGGACGAATATAGGAGTTAGTCAGCAATGGTACTAACCGTCGCTCAAAGGTGACGAGAGTTTGCCTCAAAAGTCTCAAGTTCAAGTTCCCCACACCTGCTACTTTCGGACACTGGAGTGAATTTTCAAGACTCTCTTGCACGATTATACCTAAATCGCGTTCACTAGCCACGTGTTGCAGGACTTGTTGCCCCAAAAGATGTGTTGACGAAGCATGTGGCACTTTGCAGGGTTCAGTGGGAGTGGGTTCCTTTCGGCCCATTCGTTAATCCGAGCCAGATGATCCTGAAGATAGACGCAGTCGGATGCTGAGAAAATTGCTCTCCAAATTTTAGCATCGTATGCAAATATTTGCATCGGGGATAGAATGTCTGCTGGAATCTCATTAATGTTAACTAAATACAGTAGCGGGACGAGGATGGATATTTGCGTACACCACTAGAGACGCACGGGCTTTCAGAGTGAGAGTCTGTTACGCTTACCTTGCTCGCTCTGTCATTTAAGTAGTCTTCCACCCAGATGAGTAGGGAACGGTTGATACCGAAGGCAGTAAGCTTTTGGAGAACAAAGAAGTGATTGACCCTGTGGAATGCTTTAGGAAAATCCAAGTAAATCACATCTATGGCGTCTCCTTCATCAGCCACCCTGGTCCATGAGTCCCTGATACCGGAAAGATCCACTCAAACGTGTTTTGTTCGCAAAAACTTCTCGGATTCCAAGGTTTATTTGGGCGCTGTCGTAGTCCGGCATTAAATGCCAGCATGATATTTCCATACACTCTGATCTTTTTGGGTGCAGTGACTTTAGCTGAAATGTGCAGTTAGCTTAGAAACGAAATTTTTAATTTACCTAAAGCATCTTACTGAGCAGTGTTTGTTGCAACAGACGTTCTGCCGTGGGGTTAAATGAAACATTTTGTGTGTGACGGGATGTTTTGTTAAATTGCAAAAAGTAGCCAAACCTGTTGTAATGAGCGTCCGTTGGACTACGGTAAGCATATGCTTTATCTGAATCTGTGCCCAGGACATCTGATCTCTTTGCGGTAAGCCACATCGTTGTCTGTAATGAGGATGGAATTGATGGAGAATACTTAACGCTACCCACGACTATTGGCTGAAGATAAGGAAATAGGTTCTTTAACATTGACCTATTATAAGTTAAATTCATCGTATTTTTGCATAATATTAAATGTAGACATTCAAATATAATTAGGAAAATTATGCACTGATGTTACTGCAACCCAGACAGGTAACGCGCAATTGCGACAAATTGCTACTTCCAAAACTAACTCGCAGTATGGTTACCGTATTCTTGTTCAGGACCAAGTGCTCACAGCCTCTCACTTGCGTGTTGACTTTTAAATGTCTTGGCCACGGGAGATTTGAGGCAGTCACCTTCGTCGGTAAAGTGGCTTCGCCATAGTGGAACACCCATACCTCACCTCCTTGCGCATTGCCAGGGTGACCTCGGAAAGGGAACTTTACTTACTGTGCCCCAATAGTCTGACGCTGGGATGGAGTAACAGGCGATTTCTGATTTATAGCTTAGTAAAAAGAAGAGTTTTGAGTAAACTACGAAAGATATTCCTCAAGGTTACACTCAGTTATATAGGAATTACGCATCCGGTAAAACCTTGCACGGCTCTAAAGCTATCAAGACTTGCCCGTATAACACATTTTAATTACTTCGGCGAGTGGCTACAGTCTATGGGCTGCGATCCTAACTAGTAACTAGAATAGCACACTGGGAAGACAACCACTTGTGGATGCGCGTATTTCTTACTGTCACATCAGCATAAATACCATTACAAGAAATTGTTTTTATACCGTTCAAGGGTTGTTATCAACAAATTGAATGCAAGGGTGAACGGCTGCGACGTTCCTGGGACCAAGGCAACCGATAGTCAAAAACTGATTGTTTCTTTGCACACAGGGCGGGTCGTAGCTATCTTGTCGCTACAACCTCAGCGAAAAATGTCAGGAATTTTAGCCGTTCACCAAATCGATGAAACGGGCAAACTGGCGAGTCACGGAAAGATGAACTAACCGTATCGGTCCTTTACGGATTGTAATTCCCAGCTGAATTTTCAGTTGTAATGAATCTGCTCTCAGCTTCTTGTGTTGCTCAGTTTTCAAACTCCAGAATTTGTCTTTGTGTCAACAGGTAACATCTATCCAAGCACAACTAGTGTTGGAGGTTTCACTTTAAACCAACATGACGATAGTGACAATGACAAACTAGTGACCTACGGACAAAGTCGTCGACCGGCAGACATTTAGTTTGTGTTCGACCCCGTGCTGTGGCTTATCATTCAATTAAACACTGAAATTCT